AAAAAAAAAAAAAAAAAAAAAAAAAGTAAAAAAAGAGAGTAAATATGTTTCTACATGATTTTTATCAGCTGTGTTGTGTTCCAGATAAATAAACTGTACTCTGTTAAACTAATCACCTTGAGCTGAGTGTTTAGGTTACTCCCCACTTAGTGCTGTCATTAACAAGGCTCAGTGAATATCCCCATATGTATATCTTTGCTCCCCTATTGCCTAATCGTCCTAAAAGAATTCCTAGCTGTGGCTCACGTCTATGATCCCAATCCACTTTGGGATACCAAGGTGGAAGAATCGCTTGAACTCAGGAATTCAAGACCAGCTTGGGCAATATAACAAAACCCCATCTCTACAAGAAAAATAAAATTGGGATGCCCAGTTCTGGCTTCCACACACCATTCATGACCACCCACCATGGGTCCTACAGCTCTGTTAGGAATGAATCACATCGGTATCAAGCTGAAAATTGCCTCCTAGGGAACTGGGCCAACCACAGCCACCTGTGCATACCCTTAATCCAGTAAATACACAAATACACTGCTGGAAGGACACAGGGTGTCCTTAACTGGAAACCAGGCTCTTGGTGGGTGTGTGCAGTAGGTGACTTTCTCTGTGTGTGTGTGTGTGTGTGTGTGTGCACGCGCACTTCCAGGCTGGAGTGCAGTGGTGTGATCTCAGTTCACTACAAACTCTGCTTGCCGGGTTCAAATGATTCTCCTGCCTCAGCCTCCCGAGTAGCTGGGATTACAGGCACCCGTCAGCACACCTGGCTAATTTTTGTATTTTTAGTAAAGACAGCATTTCGCCATGTTGGCCAGGGTAGTCTCCAACTCCTGACCTCAAGTGATCCGCCCACCTCAGCCTCCCGAACTGCTGAGATTATAGGCATGAGCCACCGTGCCCAGCATTAGGTGACTTTTAGTGTCCCTGTTGGGGTTAAGACTTGGTAACCCTCTGCAGACAAACATGCAGATATTCATTCCCTCCTTTATCTCTCTCAAGAGCCTCAGAATAAGAGGACCAGAGGCAAATCAGAAGGAACCATCTGCTTCCTCTCCATGGCTGCTGCTGCGCTCAGGATAAGACCCTGCTCCCAGCCTGGCCCAGCCCCTGCCATCCTCCTGCCTCCTCTTCCATATGTTCCTCCCAAATTCAGGGGCTTCCCATATCCTGCTCCCTCTGTCTGGAATGCTCTTCCCTTATCCCGCTGGTCCCCTCTTGAAATGTCACTCCCCGAGAGCCGCTGCCCCAAGCACCTTCTCCTTCCCAGACAGTGTGCTCTCGCTGCTTCTGCCTTCAGCACTCGGTCGTCCTCTCTCTCCAGCACGCAGTTTGTGACAGTAAATTTACCTGTGTGATTAGCGTAATGCTGGTCTCCTTCACTAGACTGGAGGCACCGTGAGGGCGCGCATCATGGCTGACTTGCTCATAGCCATGCTTTCAGCTTCTAAAACTGTGTCTTAGACACAGTAGATAATCAGTATTAGTTGAATAAATGAATAAGGTTGTGTTTCCAGGTGACCCAAGCCTATTGGACAGGAAGAACAGGGACAAATTCCCCTTCCTGCTCCATTTTCTTTTTTCTGTTTGTTTGTTTTTTTTTTTTTGAGATGGAGTTTCGCTCTTGTTGCCCAGGCTGGAGTGTAATGGTGTGATTTTGGCTCACTGAAACCTCTGCCTCCCAGGTTCAAGCGATCATCCTGCCTCAGCCTCCCAAGTAGCTGGGATTACAGGCATGCACCACCAAGCCCGGATAATTTTTTGTATTGTTAGTAGAGATGGGGTTTCTCCATGTTGGTCAGGCTGGTCTCAAACTCTAAGCCTCAGGTGATCCGCCCTCCTTGGCATCCCAAAGTGCTGGGATTAAAGGCGTGAGGCACTTCACCCAGGCTCCTTTTTCTTTTTCCTTTTTTTTTTTTTTTTTTTGAGATGGAGTCTCTCTCTGTTGCCCAGGCTACAATGCAGTGGTGTGATCTCAGCTCACTGCAATCTCTGCCTCCTGAGTTCAAGTGATTCTCCTGCCTCAGCCTCCCAAGTAGCTGGGACTACAGGCATGCACCACCATATTTTTGTATTTTTAGTAGAGATGGGGTTTCACCATATTGGCCAGACTGTCCTTGAACTCCTGACCTTAAGTGATCGCCTGCCTCAGCCTCCCAAAGTGCTGGGATTACAGGCATGAGCCACCTCGCCTCACTACTTTTTCTTTCATTCAAGTAGCCAATATTGACTGCTCTTTGCTGGGTGCCAGACTCCATGCCTGGGGTAGAGGACAGGGCTGTGAACAGAATACCTGGTCCCATCTTCACATAGCTGCAGGGCTGATGGAAGGGTCAGACAGGAGCATTTGAGGACTGGGGAAGCCTGAGTCCCAATCCTGCCTGCAGTTCCAAGAGGATGGGTTCCTGGTACTGGAAGGATTCTTGTCTGCGGAAGAGTGTGTGGCCATGCAACAGAGGATTGGCAGGATAGTGGCCGAAATGGATGTCCCTCCCCACTGCCGAACAGAGTTCTCCACCCATGAAGAGGAGCAGCTTCGAGCCCAGGTAGGTATCTGAGGCGCATGAGGATGGAATGTGATCTTTGAGGAAGGGCTCGGTCCTGGCCAGAGCAGCAGCATGAAGGGAGGATCCCAAGGCTCTGGGGTGCCAGGCCAAGCCCCTTACACACCTTTCCCTTGGTCCTCACCGTGAAGTTATCAAGTAGGCATTATTGTCCGCATTTTTTTTTTTTTTTTTTTGAGATAGAGTCTTACTCTGTTGCCCAGGCTGGAGTGTAGTGGCACAATCTCAGCTCACTGCTACCTCCGCCTCCCAGGTTGAAGTGTTTCTCCTGCCTCAGCCTCCCGAGTACCTGGGATTACAGCTGCCTGCCACCACACCTGGCTAATTTTTGTATTTTTAGTAGAGACGAGGTTTCATCATGTTGGTCAGGATGGTCTTGAACTCCCGACCTCAGGTGATCCACCCACCTCAGCCTCCCAAAGTGCTGTGATTACAGGCTATTGTCCCCATTAGACAGGTGGGGAAAATAAGGCTCAGCACACTTGCCCCAAGCCACAGTTAGTAATGGACAGAATCAGGATTTCAACCCAGATCTGTCTGATCCCAAGCCCCTGCTGTTCCCCGCGCAGCTTTACTTTCTGTTTTCTGGCCACCAAAGTCCACTTTATGGCCAGCCATCTGGAATGAGCCCAGTGGTCTGGAAGGCTCCCACCTGTATAAGTGTTATCCCCCTATGAGCTAGGAACTCAGATTTTCTGCCTCCAATGACAGAACGGGTCACATGGTAGAACCCAGCAGTTTGTGATGGGTAAGCTGAAGACTCTGGGGTCTCCCACAGGGTTCTCTTGACCCTTCATAGTTGGAGTTTATTATGCGCCTGCCAGCAGTGCCCGGGCCAGGTGCAATCTGGCACTCACAATGAGGAGCACCTGCCATCTGGTGGGCATAAGAGGAATTACAACAGCCGGAAGCCATACCAGGACAGGGGGAGAATGGAGTCTTGAGAAGGAAAAGCCTGTTAAGGAATGATAGTTTCCTCCAAAAAGCTGGTCCCATTTGCTGCACGCCTGCTTTCTGTTGGGGAGATATTTGGGGGAGCACAGACAGGTCCTGCAGCCAGAGACAGGCAGTCATCCAAGGGTTCCTAGGAGTAAGAAGGGCTGAATCCTGTGCCCTCCAAGCTGCCTTCAGAGACTAACGGGTTACGCAGCAGGAAGAATGTGACACTAAAGCTGATGTGTTGACCGGGGGCGATGACTCACATCTGTAATCACAGCACTTTGGGAGGCCGAGGTAGGTGGATCACCTGAGGTCAGGAGTTTGAGACCAGCCTGGCCAACATGGCAAAACCCCATCTCTACAGAAAATACAAAAATTAGCTGGGCCTGGTTGCATGTGCCTGTAATCCCAGCTACTTGAGAGACTAAGACAAGAGAATCACTTGAACCCAAAAGGCGGAGATTGCAGTGAGCTGAGATAGCGCCACTGCACCCCAGCCTGGGCAACAGAGCAAGACTCTATCTCAAAAAAAGAAAAAAAAAGATTAGCTGGATATGGTGGTGGGTGCTTGTAATCCCAGCTATTTGGGAGGTTGAGACAGGAAAATCACTTAAACCCGGGAAGCAGAGGTTGCAGTGAGCTGAGATCATGCCACTGCACTCCAGCCTGGGCAACAAAGCAAGACTCCTGTCTCAAAAAAAAAAAAAAAAAAAAAGCTGGTATATCTTGGTTTATAATGCGTGCAAAGAAAAGAGCTTGGCATAGTGCCCAGCACTCAGTAACATCCTCAAATTCACTCTTGATACTGTGAGAAAGAAAAAAGATCAGTGGGCGTCCTGTCTCATTCTCTTGGGTTACCTCCAGCTCTCCTTGTCTGAGTTATTTTACAACATTGTGAGTTGGATAAAACTGATGATAATGCACATGATACCTGTCCAAGTAGGGGTCAGTGCCACTCTGTTCCAGTCACGTCGCCCTGAACTGGGTCCTGTGGAATGCAATTATTGCCCTGTGGACAGAACGGTTGGGCAGCTGGGTGTGGTGGCTCATGCCTATAATCCCAGCACTTTGGGAGGCCAAGGAGGGAGGATTGCTTGAGCCCAGGAGTTTGAAACCAGCCTGGTCAACAAATTGAGACCTCTGTCTCTACAAAACATTTTTTTTTAATTAGCCGGGCATGCTGGTATATTCCTGTGGTCCCAGCTACATGGGAGGCTGAGGCAGAAGGAACACTCAGGTCCAGGAGGTTGAGGCTGCAGTGAGCTATGATCTTGACATTGCACTCCAGCCTGGGTGACAGAGCAAGACCCTGTCTCAAAAAAAAGGACAGTTTGCATCTATCTCTAAATTCATTTCAAGGGCTGGGCATGATGGCTTACACCTGTAATCCCAGTACTTTGGGAGGCCGAGGCAGGCAGATTGCTGGAGGTCGATAGTTCAAAACCAGCCTGGGCAACATGGGGAAAGCCAGTCTCTACCAAAAATACAAAAATTAGCTGGGCATGGTGGTGGGCGCCGGTGGTCCCAGCAACTTGGGTGGCTGAGGCCGGAGAATTGCCTGAACCTGGGAGGCAGAGGTTGCAGTGAGCCGAGATCTCACAATTGCATTCCAGCCTGGGTGACAGAGAGAGACTTTGTCTAAAAAAATAATAATCATTTCTGTATTCCTTAGTATCTATATACGTGTGTGTCTGATTCTTAGAATTCTCCTTTGAACCAGTTGTAACATCTTACTGTTTCCCTCATGAAATAATGAACTCAGTAAAATCTCTGACATATGCTTAGCATTATTACATTTAATATTTTTATTGGCCAGGCATGGTGGCACAAGCCTATAATCCCAGCACTTTGTGAAGCCAAGGCAGCGGGCAAATCGCTTGAGCTCAGGAGTTTGATGTCAGCCTGGGCAACATGGTGAAACCCCGTCTCTACAAAAACAACTAGTCATGGCCGGATGAGGTGGCTCACACCTGTAATCCCAGCACATTGGGAGGCCAAGGCTGGCAGATCACTTGAGCCCAGGAGTTCGACACTAACCTGAGCAACGTGGCAAAACCCTATCTCTACCAGAAGTACAAGAAAGTTGAGAGTGGTGGCATGTGCCTGTAATCCTGGTTACTTGGGAGGCTGAGACAGGAGGATTGCTTGAACCCAGGAGATGGAGGTTGCAGAAAGCTGAGGTTGCGCCACTGTGCTCCAACCTGGGTAACAGAGTGAGACCCTGTTTCAAAAAAAAAAATTAGTCAGGCATGGTCGTGTGAACCTGTAGTCCTAGCTACTTGGGAGGCTGAGGTGGAAGGATCACCTGATTTCATGAGGTCAAGGCTACAGTGAGCCGTGACTACGTTACACCATTGCACTCCAGCCTGGGCAACAGAATGAGACAGTCTCTCTCAAAAAGAAAAAAAACAAAAACAAAAACAAAACAAAACAAAAAAACAGCACCTCAATTTCTTTTTCTATAAAATGAGGATTATGATAGACACTACCTCTTTGGGTTTTGGGAGGCTCAGTGAGATAACACACGTACAGAGATATTTTAGGTTCAGTTCCAGACCACTGCAATAAAACCAGGTTTTTTTTGTTTTGCTTTGTTTTTGTTTTTTGAGATGGAGTCTTCTTCCCATCGCACAGGCTGGAGTGCTGTGGTGTGACCTTGGCTCGCTGCAGCCTCCGCCTCCCAGTTGCAAGCAATTCTTCTTCCTCAGCTTCCCAAGTAGCTAGGATTACAGGCATACACCACAATGCCCAGCTAATTTTTTATTTTTAGTAGAGACAGGGTTTCGCCACATTGGGCAGGCTGGTCTCGAACTCCTGACCTCAGGTGATCCACCTGCCTCAGCCTCCCAAAGTGCTGGGATTACAGGCGTGAGCCACTGTACCCACCTTCCCCCCTCTTTTTTTCTTTTTTTTTTTTTGAGACGGAGTTTCGCTTTTGTTACCCAGGCTGGAGTGCAATGGCGCGATCTCGGCTCACCGCAACCTCCGCCTCCTGGGTTCAGGCAATTCTTCTGCCTCAGCCTCCTGAGTAGCTGGGACTGCAGGCACGCGCCACCATGCCCAGCTAATTTTTTGTAGTTTTAGTAGAGACGGGGTTTCACCATGTTGACCAGGATGGTCTTGATCTCTTGACCTCGTGATCCACCCGCCTTGGCCTCCCAAAGTGCTGGGATTACAGGCTTGAGCCACCGCGCCCGGCCTCCCCCCTCTTTTTTGTGACAAGAGTTTCGCCCTTGTTGCCCAAGCTGAAGTACAGTGGTATGATCTCGGCTCACCACAACCTCCGCCTCCTGGGTTCAAGCGATTCTCCTGTCTCAGCCTCTCGAGTAGCTGGAATTAGAGGTGCATCCCACCATGCCCAGCTAACTTTTGTAGAGATGGGATTTCATCATATTGGTCAGGCTGGTCTCAAACTCCTGACCTCAGATGATCTGCCTGCCTCAGCCTTCCAAAGTGCTGGGATTATAGGCACGAGTCACCTCGCCCGGCCTGGGGAGGCCAGTTCTATTATTATTCCCTTTTTTTTTAAGATGGAGTTTCTGCCAGGCGCGGTGGCTCACGCCTGTAATCCCAGCACTTTGGGAGGCCGAGGCGGGTGGATCACGAGGTCAAGAGATCGAGGCCATCCTGGTCAACACGGTGAAACCCCGTCTCTACTAAAAAAATACAAAAAATTAGCTGGGCATGGTGGCACATGCCTGTAATCCCAGCTACCCAGGAGGCTGAGGCAGGAGAATTGCCTGAACCCAGGAGGCGGAGGTTGCGGTGAGCCGAGATCGCGCCATTGCACTCCAGCCTGGGTAACAAGAGCGAAACTCCCTCTAAAAAAAAAAAAAAAAAAAGATGGAGTTTCACCATGTTGGCCAGTCTGGTCTCGAACTCTCTACCTCATGATCCACCCGCCTCGGCCTCCCAAAGTGCTAGGATTACAGACGTGAGCCACCTCGCCCTATTCCTTTTCTTTGAGATAGAGTCTTGCTCTGTCGCCCAGGCTGGAGTGCAGTGATACAATCTCCACTCACTATAATCCCTGCCTTGCAAGTTCAAGCAATTCTCCTGCCTCAGTCTCCTGAGTAGCTGGAACTACAGGTGCCCACCACCACACTCACCTAATTTTTGTATTTTTAGTGAAGACAAAGTTTCACTATGTTGGCCAAGCTGGTCTCAAACTCATGGCCTCAAGTGATCTGCTGCCTCAGCCTCCCAAAGTGCTGAGATTACAGGTGTGAGCCTCTAGCCCAGCCATTATTATTCCTTTTTCACAGATGAGAAAATCAAGGCTTGGAGACTTAAAACCGGGGACCCAAGCCTACCAGGGAACCAGCCCTGTTGAACTCTGGCATTCCTGTTCTGAGTAACAGTCTAGTGAAGTTTCCAAGAAGTTCCATGTTGAATTCTTTGGGCTGTGCTTCCAGGCACTTGAAGTTCTGGTTCATTGTCTGTGCCTCAGTGGACAAGTCTGAGAAACCCCCGGGGGTCTGTAGCCCTGTGGGGCGGGAAGCTTTTGAATCTACCTCCCTCTTTGCCAGGCCCACCTCTGACCCCGGGATGCTCTCTCAGTCTTCTGATGTCCTCTTTCCACAGGGCAGCACAGACTATTTCTTAAGCAGTGGTGACAAGATTCGATTCTTCTTTGAGAAAGGCGTTTTTGATGAGAAAGGTTTGGAGCGGGGTCCCCAGAGCTGGAGAGGAGACATGGTGAGGGTGGGCTGGATGCGGGTATCTGCCCCCAGGGCTGGAAGCCTGCTGAGGCCAGCTGCCCATGGAAGGATAGACACCAGTTCTCTGCCTTTATCTGTTCTTTGTGCCACAGGAAATTTCCTGATCCCTCCAGAGAAATCCATCAACAAAATTGGCCATGGTGAGCAGGGGCTTGGGGGTGCAGGAAAGAAAATGGGGGAACTGTCTGGGAGCAGTGGCTCACGCTTGTAGTCCTAACCCTTTGGGAAGTCAAGGTGGGCCAATCACTTGAGATCAGGAGTTCACCAGGGAGGATCTGTAAAAAGAAAAAAAAAAAAAAAGGCCGGGCGCGGTGGCTCAAGCCTGTAATCCCAGCACTTTGGGAGGCCGAGGCGGGTGGATCACGAGGTCAAGAGATCGAGACCATCCTGGTCAACATGGTGAAACCCCGTCTCTACTAAAAATACAAAAAATTAGCTGGGCATGGTGGCGCGTGCCTGTAATCCCAGCTACTCAGGAGGCTGAGGCAGGAGAATTGCCTGAACCCAGGAGACGGAGGTTGCGATGAGCCGAGATCGCGCCATTGCACTCCAGCCTGGGTAACAAGAGCGA